TCACTTATTAGCAGCTGGGAATATCCTTAACCCCTATCTCAGTTTCCCCATCTATAAAATGGGGATAATAGCATTTACTTCTCAGTTATTGTAAGGATCAAATGAGATATTTATAAAGTGTTCCACAAACTTTTAGGTGTGTTTATTAGTTATTATTACTGTTTCTACTTTCTTTTCCTTCTAATTCATCCGTTATGCCATTGCCAGACTTATTTTCCTGCTCAGGCCAGTATGTGATTCTGTGACTTGATTTTTCAAGGCCATTGAGCTAAAAGGGACCTTAGATAGGTCATCCATTCTTATGCTTTCATTTTACAGGTGAGGAAACTGAGGCCTAGAGAGGGAATCAACGATTTGGAGCTAGAAGGACTATCTGAAAATATCCAGTGCAGTTTTCTCATTTCACAGGTAAAGCGACTTGTCCAGTGTCACACAATTCGAAAGTAGCAAAGCCAGGATTTGAACCCAGGTCCTTTGATTCTAAATCCTATGCTCTTTCCACAAGACCATGCAATCTCTAAGGCCTTCTGTAGTCATGAAAATTCTATGACGCTAAGAATTTTCCCCATAGGTCCTCCTTTCCTAAGCACTTTCACAGGTCCTGTTCCCCCCTCCTCATGAAAGAAATGTTCCCATGGCAAAACCTCTCCTGTTGCAGCTCCTCCTCCTCCATAACCACCATCTTTTGCCATTGCTGGAAACAGTTTGGGGGGAAATACCAGAAAACTCACTCAAGCACCAGCAACCTGACATTTTTCCAGGCAGGACTAGATGCTATATCTCATGCTGTCCCTTCATGGGCAGGCAGTGGGAGAGGAGATGGAGGAGGCTGTCTGGTGAGAATGAATGACTGTTTCTACCCTCCCCCTGCTAGTCAATTAAGTGGAAGCAGTCTCGAAGGAAAGCACTGGCCAAGGGTTCTTGCCATTAGCAACATCATAATAAATGCGACTGAGCAGTAAAAGGCTTCCATTATTCAATGGGCAACATTCGAAGTCTAGATGGGCAGTTGAGCTGAGGAAAGCCTCAGCTGACGAGAGTCTGGGCCATTCTGAACCTTCACCACAATGGACTACTCCCCTTCCCACGACCTCAATACTTCACTATTTCATTTTCCTCTTCCAGGCTTTCTCCCTACCACTATCGCCCAGCAATCCCTCCTCCTTTGAGGTTCATTCTACCCAAATTTACCATCAGCCCTACACCTCCCCATTTTTTTCCAATGAGCTCAGTGCTGGGTTCAGTACCTGTCTCCCTCATAATCCATTTCAACACCCCCATTTCCTCAACCCACTCATTTCCCATGGACCTCTACTCCATCTCAGCTGCACTCAGATATCGTAACAGCCTTGATCTGCCCTCCCCCATAAATGTTCCATTTTTATGACCAACATATCAATAATCAACTATGGTCAAAGCCAACATTCCTTTATCTGATTTTAATCTATCATTAATCTATCATTTTTAATCTATCATAGACTTAATCATCTATCTATCTAAATTATCAGTGTAATCTATACCTTACTGCTTCTAAACCTATTCTTTGTCCTCAACATGACCTCCAATCCCTCTACCACTGAGTGATTTTCCAGGCCACCATCCCTGCAGCATAGCCCGGCTACACTCTCCTCACTTCCTCCACGTTCCTCTGTTCTATTACTACTCACTCCTTACCAAAGCCCAAAGCTATATTATTCCCATCATATGCCTTTTTTATTCCTATTCACAAAATGCTTAATAGAGCTCAAGGAATTCCCAACTATGCTAACAGATTTATGTTCTATCATCTCAGCTGGGCTCTCAGTACAGCAAGGCAATCCCTCCACTTCTCCTAATTAATTTTCTATGCCACGTATTACAATGGCTGTTCCAAATCTTCTGGCTTCTCATCAAGCTTCTCACCGAACAGCTTCTCCCTCACTCTGCTAGCTGTGGGCTTCACCTCATACTTCACCAAAATCAAAGACAAATGTCTTTGACTTGCTGTCTCTCTCCTGCCTTCCTCCTTGGCTCATGGCCCCTTGACATCTTCTCACGTTATTTCCTCTTTTTACTCCAGTCTCTGTGGAAGAGATGGCCCTTCACTTCAGTGAGAACAAAGCCTACTGCCCACATTATCACCCCCAACTCTTTTTCTCTAACCTTAAGTCTTTCCTTATCTAGTGGTCCCTGCTCTTCTGCCTTCAGACCATGTCTTCCTCTTCCTCAAAAATCCTTCACTACAGCTTACCATTCCTGCTAATTTTAGTCTTATACCTCTCTTCTCTTTCTCAGTCCAACTCCTCAAAAAGGCCATCTATACTCAATGTCTCCACTTCTCTCTCCCTTTGAGATCTGGAAACTGACCTCATCATTCAGCTAAAATTGCCCTCTCAAAAGTTACCTGTGATCTCTTGCCAAATATAATAATCTTTTTTCTTAATTCTCATCCTTTATGATCTCTCAGGCAGCTAGGTGGGGCAGTGGATATAGTGCTGGGCCTGGAGTCAGGAAGACTTGAGGTCAAATTCAGCCTCAGACACCTATCCTAGGCAATTCACTTAACCTCTATTTGCCCCGGTTTCTTTAACTGTAAAATGGACATAATAATAGCAACTACTTCTCGGGGTTGTGATGTGACTCAGAATAGCTTAGCATAATGCCTAGCACATATTGAACTCTTAATTACCCTTCCCCTCACATCAGTCCATTCTCCACATAGCGAGATTTGATTTTCCTAAACTGCAAATCTGATCATGTTACACACTTGTCGCTACTCAATAAACTTCAGCGGCTCCCCATTTCCTCTGGAGTGAAATATAAATTTCTAAGTCTGGCATTGGAACCTCTTCACAACCTAGTCCCTTCCTATCTTCCCAGTCTTCTTACATACTAACCCCCTCTGCACAATCCATGATCCAGCCTTCCTGCTATTCCACACACATAATGTGTGGAATGCTTCATCTCTCATCTCCAAACGTTTGCACTGGTTCTCACCTTTAAAATATTCTCCCTTCTTGCTTCTTCTTCTTAGACCACCTGGTTTTCTTGAAGACTCAGCTCACACTCTTCCTTCCATGTGAAACCTTCCTTGCTCCTCCCAACTGCTAGCAGCTTCTCCTCCAAAAGATTTTGTATTCATGTTGCACATATTCTGAATGTATTTGTGCGCACCTGTTGACTTCCTTTCTAGAGTGGAAGCTTTTTGAAGGGAGGAACTTTTTCCTTTTATCCTCAGTGCTTAATAGAGCACCTGGCCCATAATAAGTGCTTACTAAATACTTACTGATTGATTGACTGGTAGTTTTGTATTTCACACAGTTTTTAGCACATGGCAGGCACTGCATTTACATAAGCTTAGTTTAGTGAGCAGATAAGTGAGTACAGAGCAGAGTTAGCACCAAATTCAGTCAATCTAATTCTAGTAAACCTCTCTTTGTTTATATGAATATAAAAAGGATCAGCAATTTTTGTCAACCTAACAAACTCCCACTTTGGCAATTTCCTCTACCTTTTAACTCAACCTACCTGTCATTTGAGGGACTGGGACTAGATTAAGGCACATAGAGATTCAGGGTCTTGCCAATAAATGGCACAAACAGGATTTGAAACAAAGTGTCCTGATCTAAAGCCCAGTGCTCTAACTACTGCCTTTTTTTTTTTGGCTCAAGGGATAGGGATGGGATGGGATAGGAACAGGGATAAGGACTGCACCTGTAATTTATTTTGTAGAAGCAACTCCATCTACCAGTGCTGATTGACACTTCAGCCTTACAGTCCTACAGCGATGCCCAGAACAGTGAGATGTTGTGACTTGTCAAGAGTCACAAGCCAACACATGCTTATGTTTAGTAGAAGAGTTTTTTAAGAGAACCTTAAAAAGATGCCAGAAACCACTTCTGAAAGGTGATATCATTATTGACACATATCTGTCAGTATTGTCACAAAAGCCAAAGGCCCAGAAGAGATCTGATATAGGACCACACAAATGATGCAGAGAATGGAAGGAAGGCACACTTTGACCCAAGTCTACATGAAAGTATATATGGCAACACTCTACAGAGTAGGTAGCGAGTATGCAAAAGTCACAAGCCTCAGGAGGTTATCAAGAACGTAATAATACACAGGATAATTATATAATAAATAATTAAATAATAAACAGGAATTCACAAAGCAATCAAGTAAATTCACAGAGGAAGCCATAACACTTTTTATTAAGGGGAAGTTAATAACAGGCCCCACCCAGGCGTGGCTGATACCAGGAAAGACAACTATAAAACACTTTCTTATAAAGAAGGTAATACCTGTGTCGTTACGTTTATTTCATTCATGAGGAAACAGTAAGAGATGTTCCATGACTTAATCATGGTCAGACAGATTTCACGTGTCAGAGTCAGATCTCAAACCCAGTCTATCCCACCAAGGCTCCTTGGCCACCATCAGCCCAGACTCTCCCACCAAGGCTCCTTGGCCATTTATCAGTCCAGCCTCTCCCACCAAGGCTCCTTGGCCACCATCAGTCCAGCCTCTCCCACCAAGGCTCCTTGGCCATCATCATCAGCCCAACCTCTCCCGTCAAGGTTCCTTGGCTGCCAACATCAGAGACAGAGCCTTTCATTACACACACCTATCCTGGATTTTTCTTAAATTCCTATGATTGAGATGGATAGATGTATGTGACTCCAAAAAAGGAAGTCCTAAATCCACTGCAAGGCCTTTCTTTGAATCCCCAGTGTTTAGCATAATATTTGATTAATATATTCTTGTTATATAAATAACTGACAATGCTTACTATTGTTCAAATTAAGAGAAAAGTATGGAGAAGATATCTTGCCAAAAACCTCAAATATTCAGAAAGTTGATTCATTCAAAGGCATCACTATACAACGCAATGCACACTCACCCAGTAGCACACCTGCCTTAGTACTAGGGAGGCAGCATAAGGCTCAGGCTACAGTCAGACTCAGATTGACATTCATGCTTATGCTCAGACAATCTCTCAGGGGGAAAAAAAGTCTTACCTGCCAGAATATACTATCTATCGTGTTCCCAAGAAAACCATCTCGACCTTCTGATGACACCAGCTTGGGGCCCAGGATTGTCATGAATTCATCAAAATCCACCTGGCCATCCCCTGGAGGGAGAAGAAATAAACATGATCCATCCTGTATATGGATTTGAACTACTAAATGCAATATAAGGAAGAAACCCCCCATGGCCTCTTCCCTAGCTCTAGGTTCTCTTTCCCAGCATGTCATTTACAGATAGAGACATGGAGGGAGGTTAACAGCAACCTGCAATGATGTTTTCATGATATTATTAAATATCAGCAAATTGTCAGACCTTTGAATGTACAAGAGATGCCTCACAACTCAGAGGTGGATTTGTTTGCCGTTTGGAAAACTTACCATTAGCCAAGCAACTTTCAGGCTAATGTGGAAGGGGCAAACAAAGCCCAAGATTCATTTTTCATGATCCAATTGGAATCAGCAGGAGTAGTTCTCTGGCCCTTTATAATGATTACTCAAGAGAAAATTGTCATCAAGATTATGCCATGACATACTGGCCAGAAACCTGAGCATGGAACATAGGGTCACAGATTTAGAGCCAGGAGAGAATTTAAAGGCCATAAGTCCAACCAAGTCCCTCATTTTACATATGAGGAAACTGAGGACCAGAGAAATTAAGTGATTTACATACAGCTAGTTAGTATCTGAGGCAGGATTCAAACTCAGGTCTTCCAGACTCCAAGACTAGTTCTCCATCCACCGCACTAGAATTGGAGTCAGGTGGCATTAGCCAAACTTAATCTGTCTGGCCTCAATTTCTTCATCTGTAAAATGGGGGGTTGGACTAACCTTTGATGTCCTTTCTAGCTCTAAGTCCATGAGATTATCAGTTATATTTCAGGTCCTTCTCTATAACATCATAAGACAGCCAAGATGGGGCAACCAGTGGGATGCAACATCTATCGGTCTCTTTCCTCTTTGATTTCTCTGTACCATTTGACCTCAGTGGCCATCTGTTCCTCCTTGATACTCTCTCCTCACTTGTTTGTGGTGTTGCTGCTTTCTCCTTCAACTTATATAACCAGGGTTCTTCAATTACCCCTCAGAAGTCCTAAGAAGGGAAGATGTACCCCAAGGCTCTGTCTTAGGCTCTCTTATTTCTACATAACCTCTCAACGATCATCTCTAAGGAAATGACTCCCCAAATTAAATATCTAATCTCATTCTCACAACAAAGCTCTAGCTTCAAATTTACATTTTGGCTCCCAGATATTTCCAACCGTATGCCTCCCCTTTCCCTACCCCCAACTCAAAGTGTTTAAAATTCGTCATTTCCCTTCAAAAATCATGTACCTCTTCCATGTTTCCTGATTTCTGTCGATAGAACACCATCCTCCCAGTCACACCCTGACTTGAATCCTTCATGTTATCTTGGAGGCAATATGGCCTACACGGTAGAGTGCCGACAGGAAGACCTGGGTTCAAATCTTGCCTCTGATATCTACTAGTTGTGTGACACTGAGTGAGTCATCACCTCTGAGCTGGTACAGTTGACCTAAATAGGCTCTAAGGTCCCTTCCAGCTCTGAATCTATGACCCTACAATCTTTCCAGTCTCACCCTCCATAAATTTCCATGTCCCAACCATTCTGTCTCCACCATTTGCCTCACATCTGTGGAAGTCTACACACAGCAAGACCTCTGAAGTGTTGCCAAAGTTAGGGAGAAAGTGATGAAGAGACAGAGTGCGAATGGGCTGTCTACCCAGAGCAGGAGCTCCTTGGAAAGTCACAAACTGGCCAAAGTAAGGGTGGTCCTTATTCCTGAGTGGGTGTGTTCTTCTGAAGAGTAGTAATAGCCTGGGATCAGTTACAAAATGTTTGCAAATGTTCAAATCGAGGAGCCAGGCACTCAACTACACATCGTAATGCCTTTCTGGAAGCACATTTCCCAGCCTCCTTCACATGAGGAATGCATCAGCCACATCCCCACCTCCAATACCCAACAATCATTTCTTAAGTGCCTACTATTCTCCAGGCATTGTGATAAGCACTGGAGAGATAAAGCCTCTAGAAGCTTACATTCTAATGGAGAAGACAATGTGTACATACATAGATATATACAAGACCAAGAGGGCTGGAAGCTGGGCCACCAGGAAAGGTCTTTTGCAGAAGGGGACACGTAAATTGAGTCATTCACATAGGCACCAGCCAGGTCCAGTTCCTCACCAGCCCTTGGCTAGACTGTGATAATTCCCTCCTAATTGAGATCTCTAACAGAAGTCTCTCCCCTCTTTACTCCATCCACAAAATTTCCAAAGTAAGATTCAACTACGTAGCCCTGAGCTTGTCATCCCACCTTTTAAAAGCCTTTGGTGTCTCCCTGCGGTCTGTACGATAAAAGCACAACTTCTTAATCTGACGTTCATGGCTTTCCCCAGTCTGGCTCCAAGCTACCTTTCTGGCCTTATTTCACCATGCATCCTTTTCAAGCCTCTACCTTCTGGCCAAAATGGACTACTGACAATTCTTCAGTTTCATTCATATTTCTCCTACATCCATGCTTGCATGCAGACATACTCATACTCATGCTCCCTCTTCTCTACTTACTGAAATTCTCTCCTTTCTAGAGGTAGCAGGTGGTGCAGCAGACAAAACTCTGGGCATAGAGTCAAGAACACCTGAGTTCAAATCCAGCCTCAATCACTTACTTGCTGTGTGACCTTGGACAAATTATTTAACCTCTGCCTGCCTGTCCTCAACTGTAAAATGGAGATGATAATAGCACCTGCCTCCCAGGATTGTTGTAAGAGTCAAATGAGATAATATTGGTAAAGTGCTTAGCACAATGCCTGGCACACAGTAGGCACTATACAAATGCTAATTATTCCTTTACCTTCCCCTTCTTCCTTCAAGGCATACTACATACTTTCTCTTCCACGAAACCTTCCCTTTCCTTCCCAAATAAAGGTTTTCTCTGCCCCCTCCAATGTCTTACTGAACCTTATCAATAAGATGATGTGCCCTTTCTACCCTGAAGCTCCCCTGGGGTAGCCCCTTCTCCCCTGGGCCCTACTTACTCAGATACATGTCCTAGCCACCATTAAACTATAACCTGCTTGAGACAAGAATGGTGTTGATTTCCATTTCTGTATCCCTGGCACCTAGCATGGAGTTTTGCCCATGGGGGAGAGGGAGCTAAGGTGAGATGAATTTTAGTCATCTACAACCTCAAATATACTCGTTGGCTGAATTGGCATGTCAGCAGCAATAGTGATTTTTCACAGATAAGAGACTGTCATGGTTCAAGTGCTCACGACTGCTTGGACCAGGGATGAGGGCCATTCATATTTGCCCCTAGTCTTCTTCCACATCAGACTCCAAAGTCTCCTATGTCCTACCCCCAGGACTTGGCTTGATTGCCCCTGGCTGGAGGGCTCCTAAGTAATACCTCTGAGAGTGCTTTTTGATGGACTTTCTGGCTGACCAATTGGAGACATATTCCTTTGGTCTCATCGGATCTAACAACAACAACAATAACAAAACCCCACTCATATAGTGCGTACGGCACGCTGGGCACTGTGCTGAGCACAATGTAAGTATTACTTCATTTGGTCCTCACAACTACCCTGGGAGGTAGATGTTACTATTATCCCCATTTTACAGGTAAGGAAATTGAAGCAAGCAGAAGTCAAGTGACTTGCCTAGGGTCACACAATGGTAAGTGCAGAGGCAGGATTTGAACTCAGGTCTTCCTGATGTCAGGCCTAGCACTCTATCCACCAATACCACCTAGCTGCCTCATCTATCATCATCACCATCACCATCATCATCATCATCATCATTGTCTTTAAGGTTTGCAAAGTGTGAACAACTTTAGAAAGTAAGTATAATTTTACAGTTGAAGAAACTGAGGCAGACAGTGGCTAAGTATGCCACATAGCAATGAGGTGTCTGAAGCCATATTTTAATTAAATACCTTCTGAATCCAAGTTCCTTTCCCTTCTCTATTTTTCTCCTTCCTTTTTTTTTCTTCTACTCACTTTTATTCATCCTCTTGACTGGATTTTCTGAGCTACATCTACTTATGGAAAATGACTTCCTCTTACCTGTGACTATTTACAGTGAAATGATGATTTCATAGGATTGTAGATTTAGAGCTGCAAGCTTCTTTCCACCTGAAACTCATACATAAACTTCATATAAACACATACACATCTTGAGTTCAAATCCAGGCTCAATCATTTACTTGCTGTGTGGCCTTGGACAAATTATATAAGCTCTGCCTGCCTCAGTTGCCTCAGCTGTAACACACATACAGAGAGAGAGGCAAAGAGAAAGAGGGTGAGAGACACAGAGAGACTGAAAGAGAAGAGAAAGGAGAGACAAATTCAGAGAGGGAGGAGAAAAAGGAAAAAGAGGGACGGAGAGAAACAGAGACAGAGAAAGAGAGAGAAAAGGGGGAAACAGAGAAGAGAGAAAGGAAAGAGAAAAAATAGAGAAAGAAAGGAGGGAAATCAGAAAGAGAAAAAGGAGACAGAGACAGAGAGAGAGAGCAGGGACTGTGTTGATTCTCTTTCTCTCTGTACCCCAAGGACGTAGCATAGTGCTTTGACATAGGGATAGGACCTGAACCTGTGATTTCATTTGTATAGGGAGCTACCAAGTGAAAAAATTCCTTCTACCAATGCAGGTTGGCACCTTCTCTGCAGCTTATGGACATTAATAGGACACAAAATTATAGCTCTAGAATTGGAAGGGACCTTAAGAGGTCTTCTAGTCCAAACACTTTATTTTATTGTTTAATTTAATTTAATCTTTTTTAATTAACAAAAATCTATTTTTCTCCCTCTTATCTATCCTTTATTGGAAGAAAAATAAAGTTGCTGTCAATTTCAAATTATTTATTTATTTTCCCCAATCACATAAAAAACATTTTTAACATCATTTCTTAAAACTTTAGTTCCAAATTCTCTCCCTCCTTCCCCTCCTTTGCACTGAGAAGGCAGGCGATTTGATCTTTGACTCTCCTAACAAATATACATAAAAAAGCAAAACAAATGCCTACATTGGCCATGTCCAAAATATCTATGTCTCATTTTGCTTCTTGAGTCCAGCGAGCACTTC